TTTAAAAGGTTTGCGTCTGGTTGCATCGTTAAAATTGGATCAACGAAGCGAATTTTCTCAAATAGGTACGCACATACATAGGCGTACAGATATAAATGAGCTTGTAAATAAAGATCAAATAGCCCCTATTAAGAAGCGAAAGAACAATGAAAGAACAGCATCTTAAGTCCATGGTGAAAAGCGCTTCGGGTCAATTTCCTGCTTAGAAAGTTTAATTCTTTGAATGTTTACATACCAATTCAAATCAAAATTAGAGTGGTCAAAAATTTAATTATGCCACTTGTAATTTTTGCCCTAGAAATTTATAGTCCCAAAAATATTTCAAACGTGAAAACATTAAGACTATTATATAATCGTATACTTAGATATGTATTCTCCTTGAGGCGGTGTGATCATCTCTCAGATTATGTTCTACGATTTCTAGGATGTTCCTTCGTTACTTTTATTAAACTTCCACTTTTTCTTAACTTCTACATTATCCTACGGCAGGAGCCGAAGGAGCTTCATAATCGCTTTTCTTTATACTATAAGCTTCTTGATTCCTCAAGTTACGTGCTCTTTGGCCAAAACCTTTCAGGTAGAATTTGAAAGATCCTATAATTCCTTGCCTAGGGAGTTGTGACAATTCAGTTGCTCTTATATGAATTACAAACGTAGGGTTTTAACTTTTGCCGCTAATAATGAGATCAACTAGTTAATTAGTGACGAAGTGAAGCTCTGGTTTGTGTTATTTCTTTCGGTTCTTGTTTCCTGTTTGGTTTTTATTTTTTTATTATTCTATTTTTCTTTTTTAATGTTTATTTTTCTTGTTCTCTTTGCCTTCAATTTTCCTTTCTTCTTCTTTAAATCGTTTAAGAACATTTTGTATTATTTTACTTTATTATTAGATTTATGGTAATGTAATAGGCCTTAATAGCTTCGAGGTTACATAAAAATCAATCAAGAAACATATAAACAAAGCAAAAGTAAGTCATATGGGCAAATAAGTCATAGTGCGATTTAATTAAAGAAACTTTTTGAAAGGTCTTTGTATAAATATATATTATATCTTTGGGACTGCTTTAATGTTTTATCTTGCATCTAATTATAATGGAGACTTTTGTCCCCATCATCTAAGCATATAGATTTACTTTACTTTATTTTGGTTTGCAGAGTCCAAAATGTTCAACTCTACTCAGTCCCAATTGTATGGCCATGACTGCCTTTTGTCCGACGTTGTGGCCGATTTTTGTATACCCACCAGGGTCTTCTGTAATATCCCTATTTTGTTGTTGCCTCTTTTGCTTTGAGTAGTAAACAAAAAAACCTCAAAAAGGTAAGAAAGAGATTCAAATTTGATTACGTACAATTTTTTGCAGGCGTTGCTGATTTTTCTTGTTTTTAAGCAAAAACCGTACAATATTCCGGAAAGTAAATTTAGACAACTTCGGCTATTTATCTCTCATAATTTGACTAATGAGCAAGAAGGAGTTGCCTTCAGTTTTTGCTTTACTATGGGCGGGTTCTTTGATCCATTTGCCTCATTTTGAATACCAACCTACAAACGTTAGCTTCCAATATGTTTGCCAAATTTGAAGTCGATATCTTAATATCTGCGACCAGGCAAGTGCCAGCAATGTACACGGCACAGACGGTCATAGGTGGTTCTAATGATTAAGAATGTACACGGCACAGACGGTCATAGGTGATTCTAATGATTAAGAATGTATATGCATCGTAGGGATATTGCAAACCTTAGGACAAAATGACCCGCCAAGGATGCAAGTTACAAGCAAACTAAAAATTTGCATCCATCTTAGAGATACCTATCAATCGAGTAAGACAATTTAAGCATTTGCTTGACGAAGTGTGACGGTTATGTTTTTTAGTTTCATGACTTTCGTGGAATAAACGTGACAAAACGTGATAAGCCCTGCTTTGTCTCCAATTTTTATAGCTTTGAAACCAGAAGAAGATAACAGACGAATAAAGCTTTGCCTGCTTCAAAAGGAATGAAAGGATATCAGGATGATAAGGGATGATAAGGGATGAAGGGATATCAGACATCCTCTTTGTAAAAAAAGTAAATAAAATAAAAATTGTGAACGGCTACGTGTGTAGAAACACACACGAAAAATCTACTTCTCGTTAGCTTCAACGTTCTATTTTGGAAAGTGGACTGTAACCGCGTTGCGTGCAATATAATAATAATAACTGCAATATACAAATTGAATGGCTCTATATATGTACAATACATGCGTATGTAAATCCCTACACGACACGAAAACGTACATATTGACATGATAACAGTAAGAATAAATTAATAGAATGTTGTTTATTTATGTTTCGTTTATTGTTATGATAAAAAGAAATATGACATCGTTTTAAAAATACATAAAAAATTTGGAAAATAAAGTTCGTCGTAATACAACTATCAGTTACCCACCATCTAGATTCAGAAAAAAGAATACATAAACCACGCAATTTTATTTCAGTGATAAACTTAGGTTTGATATAGAGCGTTCTTGTCATATACATTTGTACGCTATGAAAAGATCGCACTAAACAATTTAAAATGTGTATTGCCTACAACTAGAATTCTCCTCTTTAGCTCTTTTTTTAAATAGTTCACGAACTTCAAAAATTTAAATTTGAAGAGGCATTGTAGAAATATACATTAATACCATATTGACATTTTCTTAGCATTTGTAAGAGAGATCCTGGGTAGCGAAAGACTTTAACAGATCGATTCAACAATTCCCCTTAACATAGGCATATTCCGTGAAGGCCTTTCCTGTAGGAGTGGAAATGAACATACTAAAAACTTCCTGGTAGGCAGCTAATATCTTACCCTTTCGTTTACTTCTTTTTTCTTTGTCTCTCACCCATTATGTTTATTTATTTTGTTTTTTGACTTCACGTATATTTATTTATTTTGTTCTTTTATTCATTCAAAAACAAACGTAGTCTTTAAATTACTATTAATTTTCTTACTGTTCTTTCTTCTAAGCCTGTAATGCCTACAATTTTTTAAGACATCGGCATAGTGCTGCGTTGAAATAAATCTAAAGTAAGAGTGCTTAAAAACGCAGGCAATGACTTGTTGCCTACCAATTGTGTTTGTATGAGTGCTTTCAGAGAAGCTGAGTACGGTGTCTCCAACATGTCTAAAACATTGGATTCATTTAATCGAAAATTAAGGTAATCATCTGGACTCTCGGCGTACATGCTGGAAATTCTAATGAAGGAAATTTGTTGTTATTAAACTGACAACAACTTACTCAAAACAACTTACTTGTAATTTGTATTAGAGCCTACACGATCAATACGGTAACCGAATAGCATATAAACAACTTCACGTAATTCCATTGCGGCCGATTTATAACAGTCTTTCATTTTTCTCATTTTCGCATTTAATGTTTCAACTTCATCTCGCAATTTATTCATTTCTTTAATGTTTAAGGTAAGATTATTTGTTTCATTATGACGTTCCTGCTGTGTTTGCTCATTTTCTTCTTCTAGTATCTTATTTTTACGCTTTAAGCGTTCAATCTATAAAGTAAAGGGAATAAAAATAGAACTCATTAAAATGCTATTAAGTTAATTAGACAAAATAAAATTATGGAATGATGGATGGAATTACTTAAGACTCCTGTATACTCCTGCTATCTACTATTTTGCTGCAGGATTTGTTACACTTCGTATATATTGCCTATGTTTAAAATCGTGTTGTGTATGGGAGTACCTGACGCTGAATGCTTATTTCGCGTATCTGTTATATCATTTACTTATTTACATCAGCTAAAATAAATTAACAGCCGATTCAATTGATCCTTAGAAATAATTCTAATGCAAAGTATATAAAGAAAATTAAAGAAAAAATAAAGAAAGAGAGAAAACGAAAGAAAAAACCCATGTACACATCTTGCGCAAGGGTCGGTACAGATCCAAGTTGCGAATGAACCACAAAACCACTGCAAACATGGAAAAGTTTTGCAACCGATGACCGTAAACGACAATATAACACACATAACCAAACTAATTTTAGAATCACAGCGAGATGTTAAGATTGCAAGTTAATTCAAATACGACATAGGCAAATCGCGCGAATTAAAGATAGTTGTTTGGATGGACTTTATAGAGTCCAATATTCGGATTAAGTTATAGATATCACTTAGGTTTCTGCAAACAACTCTGAAAGGATTGAGCTGCTTATGGTTATATTTACAGCTTCATGAAGAGAAAGTGCTGAAAGAAGCGATATAAAAGGTTATTTCACCAAGTAATGTAGGCGAATCGATACTACCACTAATTACTTAATTAGGATGAAAACACCAAGAAAAAATCTACGTTTCACAAGTGAAGCTGAGGCTAACAGAAACAATCTACTTTGTTAATCAGACAGACGAGGGATTTCATCCCAAATTCTTAAGGGCAAACAGCAAGAATTATTTTTGAACGGATTCAATCATAACACGTATGAGAAGGACACTACACAACAGCGGCTTACTCAAATATTGGTCTAACTAAAAACATGTAGAGCATTTTTTAATATAAGGATCCTTACTTAAGCTCTTTGGACAACTGTTTAGTGAAACCTAGCTTTGCTTAACGAGAGCTCAATGTGCAAAATAAAATATAAACTTTGGTGAAATAGAACCCCTAAATTGATGAACGTATCTACATTTGCCAATTTGTGTGAATCGATGAAATACGAAGTATTGAATGACTTTCTTCTTGAGAAAGAAAGTTTCTTGCATTCTCTTAAGACTTAATTTCTTAAAATTTAAAGAGCACCATATAACTAAGTTAACTATATTATATAAGTCAATCTGAAGCTGATGCAATTTTAAGGAGAAGTAAAAAACACTGTAACATTGAGATATTACTGTGTTCAATCACCGATAGGAGATTATTACCGTATAAATTAAGTAAAAGGGATCCTAAGTGGCTGCCTTCAGGGACGTCGCGGGAAGTGATGAAGTTAAGCAGAATCCTGAATTATCTGTTGTGAAGATAAGTTCATTAAGTACGAAAGGAGGCAGAAGGCCGGGAGTTTGAAGATCAGTACGCTTTACTAAATTCAGTACATACGGCGTCCGTGTGAGAGCCATTGGAAAAGGCTTTGAAAACAGGGCAAGTAAACTCTGGCAGAGTCACTCCCTTTTCTCTCCCAGATCTCCCTTTCAGAAAGCCATGCTGGAATGGTCAAATATAAAATTTAACAGCGAAAACTAAATGCTAAGTAACAATTCCTTTATACAATTTAGGTAGGTGATGTCGGTTTCCACATTTGTGAAGCGGAATAAGGAAGCTACTCCCCCTACATTTATTAAAAATCTTTGAAGCAAGGCATTATTTGAGTGTACATGACGAAATACCATCAGACCAAGATGCGCAACTATCTTTCAGAAACCTCAAACCATGCAAAATGCCATGACCAAGTTAGGAATCGAAACCGAGCCAGTGATCTGCTCTAGATAGTTAACAGTTAAATCGGAATCAGCAGTTGAAAAATTACGTCGGAAGTATTCATCAAGAGTATTGAGGTTTCAATATCGCCAGAGGACTGGGAGCCATTGAAAAAAGCCTGCGACAAATATATGAAAGTTTTCTTTTGGAAGTTATTTAATTAATTAAATTCCGCTACGGAACAAGTCATCAGACGAATGTAAGCCACAAATTACTTGAAATGTAGTGTAAAGAAGAAACAATAAATAAAAATAAACTTGAGATCAACATATAATATTAAAAAAGTCATCTAAGCGCTAAATTAAGATACTCACATATATTGATGAATAAACATGAACTTATTTATGCATTCAAAAATGTTTAGCAATTAATTACGTAATGTACCGCTTCTCATCTTAACGACGAACAAGACGGACGAAGTCTCCTTGAACACACTCCAAGAGAGCAACATGGCATCTATAACTAGGAAGCCAAACTATTGGCGAGTATTCAAGAGTTGGTCTAACTGAAAAGCTATACAAGCACTTCGTGGGCTATGGGTCTTTAAATTCTTTAGACCATATTTTTATAAAAGGGATCTACTTTTCTTAACTGGCACTTTTACTCTTTATGACTGTCCAACTTGAGCTTTGAATCATAAATAACAAACATTAAAACAGGGAAATGTTGCTTGCACTCCAGAAGGTGATTCATGTATAAAATAAATAAAAGCTGGCCAAGACTACTGCCCTGAGGAACACCAGAAGTAACGACAATTGCTCAGGATTGACAAGAATTCAGCACTACACGTTGGATGCGACCAGAAAGGTAGCTACTGAGCCAGGCATTCATACGGTTCAAAAAAACATAGCGATGTAATTTATAGACTAAAAACCTACGATAAACTCTGTCGAAAATGTGAAAATAACACCATTTAGAATTAGATTATAAAACTTCAAAAGATTTATAACAGTTGATTTCCTTTTTAAAAATCTGTGCTGGCAGTGCGATATGATTTAGCCTAAAACCGGAGTAAGCCCTTTTGCTACCAGTGGTGTAAATAGTTTTTTTTTTAATAGTTAAATTTTCTCTGCATAATGTAGCTTATAAGGCGCATTTACGTGACAAGAATGATGATAACTGGAGTACCTATTGTCATCAAAGGAACAAAGCTAAATATGCTATTAGAAGTGCATAATGATGAATCAATTAGTCTGTTCAAAATTGGCCAAACTTAAATTACTATTACGGGCTGTTCACTTTTCAAGTCTAATGCGCCAGGATTGGTTGATTTCTCTCATAGATTCTTGAAATTAGTTTGGCTCTGGATTGATGCTCATATGTTATTAACCACATTCTTACTAAATCTAA